CAGATAACACACACCAATTAGTTAAACTGCAGGAATGTCTTAAAGACATAAAGACCTGGATAGCCGCTAACTTTCTGCTTCTTAATTCAGATAAAACTGAGGTTATTGTACTCGGCCCTGAAAAGCCTAGAAATATGGTATCTAACCAGATTCTTACTCTGAATGGCATTACCTTGGCCTCCAGTAACGCTGTGAGGAGCCTTGGAGACATTTTTGACCAGGACATGTCCTTCAATGCGCATATTAAACAAAAATGTAAGACTGCGTTCTTCCATTTGCGCAACATCTCTAAAATTAGAAATATCCTGTCTCAGAGTGACGCTGAAAAACTAGTTCATGAATTTATTACTTCCAGGCTGGACGACTGTAATTCATTATTATCAGGATGTCCAAAAAACTCACTGAAAAGCCTTCAGCTAATCCAAAATGCTGCAGCAAGAGTACTGACAGGGACTAGAAAGAGAGAGCAGATTTCTCCTGTTTTGGCTTCCCTTCATTGGCTTCCTGTTAAATCCAGAATTGAATTCAAAATCCTGCTCCTCACATACAAGGTCTTAAATAATCAGGCCCCATCTTATCTTAACCCTTGTATGGTGTTCGGGTCTGTGAGACCCGTTTTCAGTTTCTTTCAAAAGAAAAATTAAACAATTAATTATTTTTTCAACCTGAAATTCATTGGCTTTGGCTTATTTTCTGTGAAGAACATAAATCTGAACTAATTTTCAATGACCTCATACTGTACCTCCCCCCACGCATTTACATTACATACAAGGTGTTCGGGTCCACTGGACCCAGGTCTAATAAAAGTGTTGAAAGTGTAGGTCCTGTGTTCCCACACTCTGTCCTCCTCCTTTCTGGTGCTGCTGATAGTGTTTTCTTCCCCTCCTGCTCGCGCACAAAGTTGCAACATTGTTGAAAATTCAACTATCAACACCGTCTGCTCTGACATCTCACACATTTTACCCTCTTTCTTGAGGGATCCAAATTTTATTTTCTCATACCCTGTCCCACCTGCAAATTAGGGGCATAATACTACAAATAAGACTTTGCCAGTGTGGTTCTTTATCACAACTGATCAAGATGGCAAAACATTATCTGCTGCGAGGGCCATCCAATTGATTTTGGAAGAGAGAGGAGCTTCAGATGATGATGTTGACAAAGAGGTTTCAGAATATTTCACATTTCTGAAAATTCAGAGTCTGACAGTGACTTTGAAGAAGAGGATGAGGTTGAGCACCATTTAGTAACAAAACGAAGACGAGTACCCCATCTGCAGCCAGCTCCAGGACCAGAACAAGCCCACCAGACAGCAAGTGAAGAAATAAGGATGTCAATAACTGGTGAAATCGAATGGTCTTCTTGCCCAAGAAATGAGCCACCCTGCAGAGCTGTTACTGTGATAAGCCAGGGCCAACACGGCTGACAGTTACTCATGTGCAGGACATCAAGTCTTCATTTGAGCTTTTCATCCCAGATTCCATCCAGAAAATTATTCTGGATTGCAGTAATCTAGAAGGAAGGTGTGTTTTTGGAGAGAGGTGGAAGGAGATGGACCAAATTTATCTAACAACCCCAAAGGCCTACTTTGGGGTTTTTATCCTTGCAGGAGTTTTCAGGTCCAAAGGGGAATCCACAGAATCCCTGTGGGATGCAGAAACCTTTCCGTGCATCAGTGTCTCTGGAAAACTTCCACAAAATTTCCAGGATTATCCGTTTTGATAACCGAGACGACAGACCAGCTCGACGGCAGAGAGACAAGCTAGCTGCCATCAGGACAGTGTGGGATAAGTGTGTGCACCACCTCCCCCTGTTTTACAACCCTGGGCCTAATGTCACCATTGATGAGCAGCTGATCCCATTTAGTTGTGAAACATGTTGCTTCACGTGTAAATGTGTTGTGTCTTTACACTCACTCCACTTGATTATAACGTATTTATGTTTTTTATAACATTTTATAAAAAAAAATAAATAAATAAAAAAAAACGAGAAGCACATTGATTCATAAATGTGAGCTAATAAAGGTAAAGGAAAAAAATTAACCATGTTTGCTGTTCATATGGCTTGTAATTGGGATGAAGTGAACATCTGTTGAGTAATTTAACATAAAATTGTTTGATAGTGTTAATTTGGAAAGCCAAAAGTCTAGCGGGTCCACCAGACCCATGAACACTGGCTGAGTAACAAAAATATGAACACCACACAAGGGTTAATGACCTTGTAGTACCATATCACCCTATTAGAGCACTTCGCTCTCGCTCTGCAGGCCTACTTGTTGTTCCTAGAGTATTTAAAAGTAGAATGGGAGGCAGAGCCTTCAGTTTTCAGGCCCCTCTTCTGTGGAACCAGCTTCCAGTTTGGATTCGGGAGACAGACACTATCTCTACTTTTAAGATTAGGCTTCAAACTTTCCTTTTTGCTAAAGCATATAGTTAGGGCTGGACCAGGTGACCCTGAATCCTCCCTTAGTTATGCTGCAATAGACGTAGGCTGCCGGGGGATTCCCATGATGCATTGAGTTTTTCCTTTCCAGTCACCTTTCTCACTCACTATGTATTAACAGACCTCTCTGCATTGAATCATATCTGTTATTAACCTCTGTCTCTCTTCCACAGCATGTCTTTATCCTGTCTTCCTTCTCTCACCCCAACCAATCACAGCAGATGGCCCCGCCCCTCCCTGAGCCTGGTTCTGCCGGAGGTTTCTTCCTGTTAAAAGGGAGTTTTTCCTTCCCACTGTCGCCAAAGTGCTTGCTCATAGGGGGTCATATGATTGTTGGGTTTTTCTCTGTATCTATGAAGCGCCTTGAGGCGACTTATGTTGTGATTTGGCGCTATATAAATAAAATTGAATTGAATTGAATTGAATTAATGCCAGCACAGTGTTGGCCAGTGGTGGTTTTGGACTGATGTTCAAACAGCCGGAGATGACATCTACTGTTTCCTTAAGTCTCATCTCTCGAGGTTTGGCATGTTGCATGGGATGTTATACCAGTGGTTCTCAAACCTCTTCTGGTATGCTCCATTTCAGAAGAATATTAATAGAAAATATTAATAGAAAATCCAAATAAACATTTGTTTAAAGTAAGTATATAATACATATATGGCATCATAAAGCTCTTATTCATTTATTTCCTCCCTCTCCGAAAAATAATTCTGGTCAACTTTATGTTTTATGGTTTTTCTCCTGGTTATCTGTGCCCCACCCATGATTTCAGGCTAATTTGTCTGTTATGTTGTTTGCAGTTTTTGACCAGTGTTATAAATGGTGGATCCAGGCAAAGTAATGTAAAAATAATAATTTTTAAAAAAGAAGAAAAAAACTTTTGGAATGAGTAAAGCATATCCTACTTGAAAGTAATCAAAATTGGCTTTGTATGTGACACACTTTCAGTAATTTCGAACAATGGCACTGCAAAGATTTTAACAGTTATTTCTGTATCTGTGAGTTTTAAAATCATGTGTGTTTTCTAAAAGTCCAAGCACATTTTTTAAGTATTAATTTCTATGTAGATCTATGTACATTTCCAATGTAGAGGCCCTAAATGGGCATTCTTAAAGTCAGCAAAGAGGCACAGAAAAGAAGACCAGACACCAGCGAGAGAGGATAAGAAAGACAGACGCAACAACATTGTCATCCCCTATGTAGCCGGTGTATCAGAAAAACTCAGGAGAGTTTTCTCCAAGCATGACATCCCGGTGCATTTCAGACCCAGCAACACGCTCATACACAAACTGGTTCACCCGAAAGACAAAACGCCAAAACACAGACTTAACAATGTGGTGTATGCTGTACAGTGCAGCGAGGAATGCCCAGACCTCTACATCGGAGAGACCAAACAGCCACTTCACAAGCGCATGGCACAACACAGAAGAGCCACCTCCACAGGACAAGACTCAGCAGTCCATCTGCATCTTAAGGATAAAGGTCACACTTTCGAGGATGCCAATGTTCACATTTTGGACAGAGAGGACAGATGGTTTGAAAGAGGAGTGAAAGAAGCATCTATGTCCACTGTGAGCGACCATCTTTGAACAGAGGCGGGGGTTTACGACACCAACTCTCTGCCATCTATAATCCAGTTTTGAGATCCCTTCCCAGACGCCTTAACGCCCACTCACATCCTGGGCCATCTGACCTCAGGAATTCGCATGATAAGGTGGGGCCAGGTTTCACAATGAACACACCCGAAACTCTGGCTGATTGGGACCCACGCCCAGTTTCCCACCTTGGCTCAGGCGATTAGAGGATCATCAGGGGGTCCTTTTGTCCCTCTGTGGGGGGTCACTCCCACTAGGTTTATATCTGGGACTCTCCACCATTTGACCTTAGAACTGAAGAAGCTTCTTGGATGAGAGGTGAAACGTCTTCAAGTAACTTAAAGAAGTCCAGACGCTTTTCTTTGCAAGCTCCTTTGACTATATATGTGTAAACGAAGCATGTCCCCACAATATGAGTTATTCAAGTACACACACACACACACACACACACACACACACACACACACACACACACACACACACACACACACACACACACACACCTTTGTGGGGATATGATCGTGGATGAAACAACAACTGCAATTCCTTTGACATCATGCATTCTCCAGACTTATAGGTTTACCTTTACTATGATTGAATGTCTAAGCCTAACCCTAAAACCCATCCCTCAAACAGCAACCAACTAACACGTGTACTTGGGACACACGTCCACCACCACCACCGCTGATATTACTCAGGGTGAATAAAAAAGAAATAAATGATGCACTCGAAGTCATCCAACCAGAGATATGCACTTTGACCCGCACATCCATCCCACAGTCAGGTCTGCGGCTGAGTGCAACAACGACTCTATTGTACCAGTAGATCCCGCTTCACTGCAACTTGCGGACCTCCTCCCCCCCCCCCCCCCCCCAAAAAAAAAAATCGAGTGAAAGGCGTTGTAAATATACGCATATATAAACACTCATCTGCTACCTCCTTTTTAATATTTCACAAAAGACCGAAGTACGGAGGCTCGCTGCTTTTCCTGAGGTGACAAGTCCAGTGTTCTGTGGTGGAATATTAACTTTGAGTGTGCTTTAAGAGTGTAAGTGTCCGAGGTTTTTGCATCTGTGCCTTCAGAGAGCGGAACGGAGTGGGACGGACTTGGATGACAGTGCTGCCGTAAAGATCCCAAACTCTCTCATCTAAAACGACAACATGGGAAAGGTAAACGTGCTGTTTTGTGATGTTTTGCGGATCATGCGCTGAGTTGCTCGGTTAGTTTTGTTGTGCATCTCTGATTTTTACCACGCAAAGATGCGTAGTAAAAGAAAAGAAAACAAAAAAAGAAAAGAAAAACAAGAAAAGTTGTACGCGGGTTGGAACGCGTGCAAATTCCACGTCTGTGGAAATAAAACACGCAAAGATGTGTTGTTGACGTGTATGCGAAGCATGCAGAAGTGGGCTAAGGAGACAGAGGGAAGTCTGCTTTGAGACCAAGCTCTCACTGAAGCTCTATGCTAAATTATTATTGGTAAGATGATGCAACAGGCACCCCCTCCCCTCTAAAAGTAAACCCACACTAACTGCTGCTTGGAGAAAGCTGGTGCCACATGTGGCCTGAGCGATTATGTTTTTGGAGGTAGCAAATCCAATAAAGGATCATTTTTAATATGCTTACTGTACAGATTTGTTTAATCTCCAGGGGTATCATGCAGAAAATGGACAATATCTACCACGCTTTGATTTTCCTCAGTTGTAGAAAACTGTTGATACAGCGAGGTAAAATTATATATCAGAGGCAAATTGAATGGACATGTTTTCATGCTTTGATTAATTGAAATTAAATGACACAAAAACTGACATGGGGATGGGAGTAAATGTGTTCGCTGAACATTTGGTAAACAAACCCTTAAATTAAGTCTTAGCAATTAAAAAAAAAGAAACATTACCAAGTAGGGAGGCACAAGTCTAACTACTCCTAGTAAGTGTTTATCTGCTTGTATACACTGGAGTGACTGTGACTCACTGACTGCCTAAAGCTCACTGAATGAGGCCATGGACCTATGATGATGATGATGTTGATGATGATTAAAACACTGACCTCATATTAATTACATCCAGCTCCAGATCAGTGAGCACATCATTACCAGTAAAATTCTACAGAAGCCTCCATTTTTAGCAGCCGGTTGTGCAAAGTGTTTTACTGCTTGTAGACAGTTTGTATAGAGCTGTAAGTACATGAATCATATACCTTTACATACCAGGGCTACAGCTGATGTGAATGATACGACCTGACAGATGGCATAAATTGTCAAAATGCACTAAAGCAACAGCATAAAGTTGCAGATCATTGTTAATCAAAACATCCCACGCGGTGTTTAGTTGAATACTAAACATCCACTCCACAAAAATCCACTCAGAACTCAAGCGATGGATATTTTTCTTCATTTTAACTGAGCCTGGTCTCATTAAAGCTTTAAACCTATAAAACTTCTATTTCTGCGTAATGATTAACTTCAGTATCTTGTGAGATTGACTAACAGGAAGAATCTATCAGCTACATTCCTCTCTTTTCATGTCAGAGTATTCTCTGTCAGAGAATAAAACTATTCACTGAACCTGCCAGTTATTGTTTATATTTGACGAAGGTGGGGGAAAAAGATTAGATAGTGGATTCTGGATGTGCTTTACTTCAGTGTGATTGTTTGGAGAAAATGTGTACTCTTTAAAAAGTGCTGAACTTTGTTCTGTTAATACATTTTGCTTCTTTTAGAAAATTTTTGGGACCAATTACCCAGTCAGCATCTGCTTCATAGTGGTGAATGAATTCTGCGAACGCTTCTCCTACTATGGCATGAAAGGTATGCAAATAAATGCCTGGGCAATGTTACAGTGCAAATCTATATAAAGCCTAAAAAAAAGCAAGGTTTTCTAGATTCACAGAGTACTTTTAGCTTGCTACATTACAGATTATGAGTATTATTGGGGCAATATAATAGAGAGGCAACAAATAAGATCTCTCTTGTTCCCTCACACGACCTCACTTATCTCCACAAGTGACAGATTTACTCCAGCCGGATCACACACAAACACACATGTAAATACACCACGCAATTTCCTGCAGTTTTAAGCTGATGCACTGTGTCCACAGTTTCAGCTACTGAAATTTCTCCTCAATCCGAGTGAACTTAAGACTCGGGGGTTTTATTTAATTATACTGTCTCGAAAATGTGAGAGAATATTAAAAAAATAGACCCCAAATATCGTATTTATTTCGGTCATTAGTAAAAATACCAACGGTATTAATTTTACTAATGAATAAAAGAAGAGAGATCGCATCAGAGAGGTAAGTGGTTTGAAAATAATGGATTACTGATATTCTGTAACCATCAGAATAACCAAGTTGTTTTGGATTTATTCTGGTGGCCTCTACAGTAATTTAAGAGCTACAAGCTAGCACAACTGCAGTCTGCCAGGAAATGCCATCTGCTGACGGAGATCAAGAGATGTAGTTGAGTGCTCGGGAAAAGCTAGGACGTCTGTTTTGAATGAAGATGTTGCTTAGTTAACAGTGTGAGTTTTGCAGCACACAAGGTTCATCTTGAACTTTCCCAAGCGACTCTCGTGTCTGTTATGGCTTATTTATTAGGAAAATGTCCCACAGCTTTTTGGTTTTAGGTTAAAATGCCTTAGCTTACCTGAATGACAAACTCAAACCCAGAATGTTTACTTGTGGATCGTCTAAGCTTAAATGTAAGCACAGTGGGTGTCACCGATTACATTATTTAATGTGATGGTTTAACCAGCTTAAAAAAAAATCTTATAACGGAATATAATCGTGTGGTATTGTTGAATTCATGAACTGCGGAGGATTCGCTGAAAGGATTCTGAGTGCAATAATACTTTTAGAATATGACAGTTCATGTTGAAGGCTTACGATGTATTGTGGTGTTTAGGTGTGGGCTTGGGCTTCTCCATCCTGTGAGCTGATTCACAGCTTATGCTTGCTCGTGTGTGTGTGTGATCACAGCATTGCTGACACTCTATTTCCTCACCTACCTGAAATGGGACAAGGACCTCTCCACTGCTGTCTACCATGCTTTCAGCGGCCTCTGCTACTTCACACCCATACTGGGAGCTTTCATTGCTGACTCCTGGCTCGGAAAATACAAGTGAGTCTCTCAGCTGTAAATGCACTAAAGTGTGGATTCAAGCAAATAACAAAAATACATTGTGCAAACTGTGTTCATGTTATGTGGATATTTTCTAAGCTTCTGCCACTGGAAAAAACAAACATTTGTTGCCATCGATAAGTCAAAGATTTGGGTTTTTATCTCAAAACGTCTCACTTCATAGCTCGAAATCTTGACTTATAGCTAGCAAAAAATGTATTTTTCAGTGGTGGAAACAGGCACATTTTATGCGTGTGCAGTATTTCATCATCTCCTTTTGAGCTGCTAGCTTTGCCTGACGTTGCCTGCTACTGGAGATGAATCATTCTGAGCACACATAGAGATTTTGAAGAAGGCCTGAATGCCCTGTACATAATCACAGCTTGCTCCCCACAGGACCATCATCTACCTGTCCATTGTATATGTGATCGGCCATGTGGTCAAGTCGGTTGGAGCCATTCCCACCGTGGGAAGCACCGAATTGCACATGTGAGTTGTCATGAGCTAATTCTATCACTCTGCACAATCACAGCCCAGCACTGTTAGAAGAGGATGAGGTAAGGAGGTGTAATAATTAATAATCCTTATTGCACTGAAGGAATTTGAGCATTGATTTCAAAAGTTTTGAATCAGGATAAAATTATTTTTTTGGTCCATGAACGTCATGTCATTGATAAACTGATGCCCATCACAGTTCCCAATGCCATACAGTTTCCCATAATTTTCACTCAGCGATTCTTTGAGTGCCATTCATCCAATCTCTTCTTTCTTTTCAGCACTGTACTGTCATTAATATACACTGTGTTGTAGTTTGAATCAGAAGTTTGTTTGTGTTTTGTGTCCGTGTGTCCTACAGTGCTCTGTCCATGTCAGGTCTGATACTCATAGCTTTGGGCACCGGAGGGATCAAACCCTGCGTGGCGGCGTTCGGAGGTGACCAGTTTGACGAGGAACATGTAAGCCTTCTTTAGTTTGTGGAAGTATTTGTATTATTTTTATTGGTACACCAAGGAAACAAGGTTATCAGAAACCAATCCCAGCTATCTGATAACTTTTATATAATGCCTTTTTTTGAGGCGCGGCTTAGTGATAACTACCTGCCCATCATCAAACATTAGGTACTGAGCCACACATACTTCTCAGAAGTTATCTGTGGCATGTAGGAATTGGCAGTTGCTCGCTAACTGCTTTGTTACTGTGTAAAAATAATACTTTAAACTGCAGTGCTAGATTTACTCGGTGTTATTGGTGTCCAAACAGTGTTTAGGACATATCCGAAAACTCCTCTGAGGGCTTATATACTCTTTAACACAACAATGGTCATGTGGAGTTGTTGTAGCAATGTTAAACTCAGTAAGTGATTATGTTTTTGATCCCTTCTAGACCACAGAGAGGCAGAAGTTCTTCTCTATTTTCTACATGTCAATCAATGCTGGCAGCTTCCTGTCGACTATTATTACACCCATATTGAGAGGTGAGCACATAGTCGTAGTTTTACATGTTACATTATATCCAGTGAGGTCCACTGTGTTAATAACACACACCACTCCTGCAGGTGACGTGAAGTGTTTTGGTGGAGACTGTTATGCTTTGGCCTTTGGGGTTCCTGCAGCCCTGATGGTTGTGGCTTTAGGTGAGTTTCCACCTCAACATTTACAGAGTTTTCTCCAAGTGCTTTTCAAATAGAGCAAGGGATTTTTCAACATAGCATTTCTAACTTGACAGTTTTCTTTGGGAAGCATACATTATTTCTGTTGGTGCACAATAACAGAATTATTTCAGGGAAAAAAAATACAAAACACGGTCAGCTCCCTGAAAAACGGACCTTTTTATTTGAGCCATAGCACAAACCTCTGCTGTGGCAAGAAAATCTTGTAAAATCAAGTCCCTACATTGTCCACAGTTTTTTTTTTAGCCCTTTCTGCTGTTTTTGAAATGCTTTAATCAACTTTTTCAACTCAGTATTTAGGCATGAAAATAGTGCCACTAATAGGGACTGAACTCACATGTTGTCCTTCTTCGATTAGAATCTTCAGTTCCATGTTTTTAGCAACATGTTGCTAAATGCAGTAAGTGTGCTTATGATATCCGATGCTGCAAACGTTGACCTATTTTCAAACCTGCCAGTCGCATTTCGAGATCTGAGCTTTATTCCAGGCTGTGATCAGCATGCTGAGCTTGCGTTTTCACGAGCCGGCCTTACACTTGATCAAGACCCATCCACATTTGTCCTGACAGTCAGTTGTCTCTGCCTCTCGGTCCCCGTCACCCCTGATCCTTATGGGATTCATGCTTAACTGAACCCTCGCTTTGAAAACAAACTGTGATTTAATTCTTGAGAGGTCACAGACAGATCGCAGTGAGGGTGAAGCAGAGGAGGAGCTTTAGTGCTAAAAGCCTGAAGCACGTTTACAACATGGTAGGTTTTATTACCCCAAAGCCTTCATTAGCAGCTGTGAGAGGACAAACCATCCTTAAATAGGTACTCAGTATTATTTTGGTTGTTCTGACATCAAGGCAATCACTCGCTGTGATCTTCACTCAAACAAGTCCAGTCTGACTCTTCATTTATCGCACACAGTTGTCTTCATTGCTGGCAGCAGTCTGTACAAGAGAACTCCTCCCCAGGGAAACGTCCTTTGGGAAGTCTGCAATTGTATCGGGGTGAGTAATCCCATACTTCTCCCTCGATTTATCTGAGAGCTGAAGTGCAAACACATTGATTTACTGCTTTTTACTGCCAAGAATCATTAAGAAAGATATGAATTTCACACTTCGGGGTTTCTGTCTCTGTTGTGCACACTCCATTTTCATTCCAATTATTTACCTTTGGCCTACAGTTTGCACTTAAAAATCGTTGGAACAAATCAAAACATGACCCACCGAAAAAGCACTGGTTGGACTGGGCTGAGGAGAAGTACTCGGTAACGTCAGCGAACTCCTTCTATTAATTCAGTGATGCGTAGAAGTTTTTTAAAAGTCATCTAACTAGTGTGTGTTTGTTTGCGCGCGCGTGTGTTTTATTTTACAGATGCGTCTGATTCAGGAGATAAAGATGGTTTTGCGAGTTCTGTTGCTCTACATCCCCCTCCCAATGTTCTGGGCTCTCTTTGATCAGCAGGTAAGACAAAATAATAAATAATAATAAACTTAACTTGTAAAACAGAGTTACTTTTACATAATGCAATAACAAGTCATAATCCAAAATCAAAAAGACAACTACACACAAATAAAATAACCGAAAACAGAAGACATTAAACCTTAACAGTGTGACTATTATGACAGGTAAGATAAATAAATACATTTATAAGAATGAATGAATTTATTTACCGATTTAAAAGTAGTTGCTGGAGAAATCCACAGCTCTAACACAAACTGTCCTTCTGTAATGAGCGTGCAGGAACAGATAAAATGTGTCTGAGGTGCGAGTAAATCTGTGATGTAGGTGTTGTGAACCACTTTTGCGGCCCCGAATGCAAGACTCAGGACAAAGGAAATAAAGTCAAAAATCATCTTTTAATGCTGCAAGTTCAATGAAATAAACAGAATCCAAAATATTACAGAATAGGACAATAAAATCGAAATGCCAGATATGTGAACAATGCAATTAAGGACAAGAGGAGTCTGAGACAACATATAAACAAGACAGTAAGGGGAGAGGGAACAGGTGGGGAAATAGCCAAAACTTTCAAAGTGAAGTAAAACTAAATACATGTTTCTGTGCCTGTGAAGGCAACTGTTGGTACCTACAATAATATAGATGAAACCCCAACAACCAGACGAACAAAGCACTTGGCAACAGTGGGAAGGAAAAACTCCCTTTTAACAGGAAGAGACCTCCGGCTGAATCAGTTTCAGAGAGGCGCAGGCGTGTGGAGCTGAGGGGAGTGAGACACAAGGCTAGACACAGAGTATTGAAATAAAAAAAGGAAGTCACTAAACAAGTAACCACTATCAAGACAGGCTTATCAAGACACAAAAGGATACGTCGAAGGCTAGATTACGCAAGAGATCAGAATATAAAACAGTACTACATACCAACACACCTTCAATGACATTACTAAAAGCTTAAAAACTACAGTCCAAAAATGCAAAACCTTGGGTTTAAAACCCAGAACCATGACAGTAGGTAGCAGCAAGACCATGGAAGACTTTAAAACAGGGGTGGAGAACTCCACGTCTCAAGTGCCGGTGTCCTGCAGGTTTTAGATCTCACCCTGGGTCAACACACCGGAATCACATGATTAGTTCATTACCAGGCCTCTGGAGAACATCAAGACATGTTGATGTCATTTAGGCATTTAAATCAGCTGTGATGAATCAGGTAGCCAGTGAATCGTAGTGAGGCTGGCAGTGATGCAGTGTTTTGTTTTTGATTTTGTTAGTCTGAACTCATGTGTTTTGAATGAGATTGAGAGGGAAGAGTGACTTTTGGTTGGGAAAAAGACATATGAACCTTCACAATGAGCTGCTCTCCATTATGTATCCAAACCCCATACTTTATACACCATGCACTAAAGTTAAATGCCCAATGAAAATAAGCTCTAGGAATGTGATTAGCACATCAGTTCAATTCGGTTTTATTTATATATCGACGAATCACAACAACAGTCGCCTGCATTGTAAGGTAAAGACCCTACAATAATAAAAAGAAACCTCCCACCAATAAGACGACTCCCTGTGAAGGAGCACTTGGTGACAGTGGGAAGGAAAAACTCCCTGTTAACAGGAAGAACCCTCTGGCTTAGGGAGACTATCTACCGTGACCGGTTGGGGATGAGGGGAAGAAGACAGGACAAAAAAACACACTGTGGAAGAGAGCCAATCATTAATAATAACTTATGATTAAATATTCTTAAGTATTATTTAAATTGTGTTCCACTGTTGTACTCAGGCCTTTATTTCCAGTTTAAGCAACATTTACAGTCACAGCTTTTACTTACTTTTTAATCAAAAAGAAAAACTTGCCTCAGTTCCCTTCCTACTTGGACAGACTGCATTCTGTGTCAGCACAAGATCAAGGTCTTGTGGCGAAACTTTCTTGCAAAATCCCATAAGTGTCTGTTATGTTCTCCTCTGACCAACAGTCAACACAACCATCTGATTATAGAAAAACCTCAAAGCCACATTCAACATTCCTGTTTCTCCTTCCTCCTGTATCCGTTTCTTCCTGTAATTCGACTGATTTAAAACTGATTTCTTAGAGGACATGTCAGAAATACACTATCCCTTTATTATTATTATTATTGTCCCTTCCAGGGAAAATGAGGAAATCCCATCTGCTGTGCCTTAAACAAATTTGACAGTAACAGATGTCTTTTCTTTATTGCAGGGTTCCCGCTGGACACTTCAAGCCACGAGGATGAACCTGGCTTTTGTAAGACCTTACTTACGTGAAGTAATGGTGTCAAGATGTTAAAAAGCTGATGCTGTATTTTCACATTGTTATCAGTGGGCGGGTTTAGATTAGCATCTGATATCACAAACAGTTTTTAGAAGAGAGCTTTTCTTTGTTAGGGTGTTGCTGCAATTTATCATTTTATTCTAGTAAATAACATTGTTTATGGCTCGTTATCAAGTCAAAAAATCATCAACTCATCAAGTTTAGATTTATAAAGATAAAGTTTAAGTGTCTCTCCTGTCTTTGTCTTCTTTTATTATAGGGAAACTCCTTCGCTATTAAGCCTGACCAAATGCAGGTATGTGCAGCTTATTTGGCTCTTGCTGGGATGCAAATTGTGCGCAGTCTCTGCTAATCTAAAAAAGCAATAATGAACGGCAGAAAGTCCAGAGAAAAGCAGAAAATGATTGTGATGGATGCAGATTTCTTAGCATATACTTGTAACAGTACTGATATATGTGTATGTATATGACCCAAAGTAGTTTTCCAGTGGTTTAGCAAGCGAACACACTGTGTTTCAATGCTAATTTTTACCTTTGGAAATGGGTTAAGTTAAATTTACTGTATATTGCAAGGATTCAGTATTTTATTTATCACTGGGTAAATTGTAAACTGCTGACAACTGAAAAACATGCTTTTCTGGCTGATCAGCATATTTGAATTTCAGTAAGAATGATAGATATTTTAATGTATTGTGGCTTTTTAAAAACATTTCATGGTGCTCTATGCAGTCCCCTGAAAAACTAAGTACACCCTTACAGTTTCTATAGATATTAAGAGGGTAAACAGCAGCCAGGTGCTGCTAATCAAATGCACTTAATTCATCATGAACAAGTGTGAACACTTCTATGGAAGCAGAGGTGTTGGCAGTTTGCTGCTCTGGAGCTCTGTTAACACAATACCACAGCCTTCCCAGGAGTGGAAAATTCAAGAGCTACATTTCCGACTCTGTTTGCATGGAGTCTGTTAGCATGCTAGTTAGCATGCTAGATGCTAAAGTTCATCACAGTGCTGGCTTGTTTGTAAGGGTGGCCAGGAAAATGGCAACATGACTTAGGTTTGCAAAGTTGCATCTGGAGAAAACTCAAGAACAATGGAGCAATGTCCTTTGGATAGTGGAAGTAATGCATAGCTCCATGTTTGGTGAAGATTTAAAAAAGGGACAAACACTTCATTCGAACTATGTTGATGGTGGGGTGATGATTTTGGCTTGTTTTCCAGCCACAGGACTTGGACACCTTGCAGTCACTGAGTCAGCCATGAACTCCTGTGTATACCAAAGTATTCCAGAGTGAAATATGAGGCCATCACCCTAACAGCTAAAGCTTTGCCCAAAATGGCCCATGTAACAGCACAATGACCCCAAGCACAGCAGAATGACTGAAAAAGAAAAGAATCAATGTGTTGAAATGGTCCCGTCAACCCGATTGAAATGACTGTGGTGGAACCTTAAATGAGAGTTGTGCAAAAAATAATGCCCACACAAACCTCAATAAATGGAAACAACACTGTAAAGAAGAGTCCTCCAAAATTCACCCACAATGTTGTGTTAATGATGACAGGCTGATAAAGTACAGAAAACCATTACTAAAGGTGGTTCTGCATACTACTGAATCATGGGGTGGACTTAGCTTTTCTCAGGACTTCATAGAGAGCTGTAAAAACTTTATTTTCACATGAATGTATGTGATTAGTGTCTCCTCCTCTTTTTTGTTTGTGGCAGTTTATCATGTCATAGTTACAGTCACAGTTTTTTCCTGCTAAGAAAAGCAGTAAAAGATGGTGACATGTTAATCTGCACTTGACCATTGGTCATGGCCTTCATTGCAGCCTTTATGGTCACTGGATAAATGCCAGACTCAATTTTTTTCTATTTATTTATTTAAAAGGGACAACACCGTTTGACATATTTCCAATACAGAGCACGAAATTGATGTGCTGCATTTAGAGTTTATAGCTCGTCCCTTATCCACTGAACTGGATTTCTATCCATTAGTTTCAGAATTTGGTTGTATAAAGGTGTCAGATGCTTAAATATAGTCGGTGGTGCTTAGGCAATATGAAAAATTAGAAAATATCATCGAATGGATAAATAAACGAGCTGCTGAAATGGGCGTGTGGTGTTGAAGTTCATAGTCAAAATTTATGGTTGAAAGTGATTGTAGTTTTCATTGCTAAAACATTAGTAGTTTAAACTACAAACTAGTTACAAAAACTTGCATAAAGTTAAAAGCCACACTGTCATTACAGTCAAAAATAAACCAAAGCCATCAGGAAAAATTAAAATGTTTCTTTTTATCTCCAGTGTCAGCAGGCACTGTGGATGTCATGAGTGAGGCTTACCATGTGAGCCTTGCATTGCAGCTTCACTTATGCCAGTAAAGAGCATTACACAACTTGACTATAAAGTGTTAATGGTTACCGTGTTTTTAAGCTTTACGATTTAAAGACTAAGCATAAAAAAGAGCTTCATGATGTTCTGATATAAACAACCCGAGACTCTCTCCCTCGTAGTCTCTGTTAGGTTTCAAAGCCAGTGTGCTTGAATACAGCACCATAATTGATGGAGTGTCCTGCACAGCTGTTATATATTTCTAATGCAGAACCTACCAGCTAATCTAAGGCACAGATTTTAAACATCCAGTGAAAAGAAGCATCTCTCAAGTCCCCTCACTAATGAAGACCAATGTTTGACTAGGCTGTGATGAGGCTATTTTCATGAAAACACTTTTATGGTTCTTCTTCACTGCCATCTCTTTACAAGCAATACCGAATCAGGATCTCTCTCTTTATTGACGCAACATTTATGATTTTATGGACTCTACAGAGCTTTTATAGAGTCGTTAAAAGACTAATTTTCCTCCCCCTTGTTGTCTAGATGTTGAATGCTCTGCTGATTCTTGTCTTTGTGCCTATCTTTGACCTCATCATATATCCGCTCGTTAGACTCTGCGGACTCAAGATCACGTGAGTAGTGGATTTATTTGGCTTTGTTTTGTACTGCCACCTTTATTTCATTCAGGATCATCTTGTAATCTCGTAAATTGGAAAAAATGAAGCATGTGATTCCACATATATTTCCCAGGATTATGCCTTAGAAAAGAAAGTTAACGATTGAGGGAAGTGTCTGTAAACACAAAGCTGGTATTCATTTACAAATGAATGTTTAATGAATGTTAAACATTTACTTTTAAACCCGACTCCAAAGTACTTCTCACAGTGTAAATATGAATTTCCATACTTGTTTCTCAGGTAGGGAAATTCACAGGGTCCAGAGAGTGTTAGTCAAAGCCATCTTTATTCATTCAACACGCATCACACCACAACTTCTCGACCCTCTCCAAACCCTGATTCCTCGTGTTTTAACATGGGGAATTGAGGATGCCACGCAGGTGCATCCGCCCTCCCTGCACGGCACCGCACACCACGCCCCACCACATTACGTTTTTGGTCGCATTAGCATGCATGTGTGTAATCATTCTACTTGTGTGCACGATAGCTCATAAAGTTTTGAATGATTTCTGATAAATCTTTGTAAGCGTATAGAGTGAGGTCATATTAACAATTCATTAAAATTTGACTTATATCGACCAACGTCTTCAAGGTCAACTATTAGTTAAAAACTGACATAAAACCTTATAACCTGTAAGTATAAAGAGACGGTGGTTCTAGTGAAATGTGTAATGTCGACATATAGAAAGTACTGCAAAAGGATTTAAAATATCAAGTAACATTTGACCTCTGGCCTCTCCTTCAAGATTTTTAGGTTGATTTGAAAAAAACATAATAACGCTGTATAGAGCAATTTAAAACTGTGTTTCTTACTGCCATCCAGCCTATCCAAGCTGCCATAGGCCATCGTTTGTACTAACAACATATAGGCATATATATAACTGTTCCCACAAAGTTGGCAGCATTAAACTGTCCAAAATGTCTCAGTATGCTGAGGCATTAAGAGTTCCCTTTACTGGAACTAAGGGGTGAAGCCCAGCTGCTGAAAAACAACCCCACACCATAATCCTCCCTCCTTGGAGTCAGACAAGTACTGTTCTCCTGGTAAGAGCCAAACTCAGAGTCGTCCATCGGATTGCCAGACGGAGAAGTGTGATTCGTGATTTGAGAACACGTCTCCACTGCTCCAAAGTCCAGTGGCGGCATGCTTTACACCAATGCATCCATATTTTTTTGTTGTGCAAAGCTGAGAAAGAAATTCAAGCTCACACATCAGTAAAAGCATTTTGCATGATCCATATACAGACACAAGAAAATAGAAATGCTTGGCAAAAACAGGATAATGTGAACATTTTAGACTTCCCAAAGTTTCCCAAATCATATTCTTAGTGGACCAATTTTCTTTTTAGGAGATCCTGACTTTCTGGAGTTTGCACCCAAGTGACGAAACGCTTCTGAGAGTATCCCAACAATCAGATGATCCCCAATGAGCAAGGAGTTGGTGACAATAGGAAACAAGAACTCCCTTTTAACATTAGGACCAGACTTAGGGATGCACAGCCATAACAAGGAAATAATGCGACAGAAAGTTTGTCAGGGAGGACACTGGTGTGGAAATAACCCTTCTGATAAAATGATAAAGCCACGCTTTCAGAATATTTTAAAAAGCAGTGAAAAACAGGTAAAGGTATTAACTGTTGGGCACCAACTCTCTCTGTTTTCAGACCTCTGAGGAAAATGGCCATGGGAATGGTGTTTGCAGCCCTGGCCTTCGGAGCAGCCACTCTGGTGGAGGTGAACGTTGTGGTACGTATGAGCAGCAATCATAGTGATTGCATCTTGCTACAGAAAAGCACTCACACTCGGCAAAACCCTTACTGCTCATGTTTCCAGGAAAACCTGAATGTGTACAGTTCAGATGTATAATCATAATGGTAGCTTGCAGTTTTAAAGTTTGGATGCCAAAACTTAACAGTATCTTTTTGCTGATATTAAGTACATTTGCTGTTTCTAGCATGCCCACCTGAATCTTATACTTTAACTGTTTTGTTGTTGATTTTATCTCATAGTGATTGTCTGACTGGTCAAAAAGTGTTTTTGCTGATATTTTTCCATCACTGTGCTCTGATTTGCTTTTCTCTCTAATAGAAAACTGTGGTGAATCCTGCACCTGCAGGGAAGTGTCTCTTGCAGGTTGTCAACCTTGCTAAAGATGATGTCAGTCTGAAGGCTCCTGGCACCGATCTGTTTCTACAGTCAATCAAGTACCTTGAGGTAAGAAGAGTGCAGGTGGCTAAACTTTTCATAATTTTCACTGTGGCTCAAGGCGAATAGAATTAAAAACCACATTTCCCTGTCGTTCACATGTACATGTACGAAACAATAAATAAACAGAATTCAACTAGTAATACATGTAAGAAGAGCGAGATAAGACAAAACTAAAACTCAGTGTGCCGTTAACAGTGAAAATGCTATTTTAACTTTGATTGAGCTGTTCTACAGAAACAAGAGATTTCATAACTTCCATCCATCCATCCATCTTCATCCGCTTTATCCGGGGCCGGGTCGCGGGGGCAGCAGCCTAAGCAAAGAGGCCCAGACCTCCCTCTCCCCAGCCACCTCCTCCAGCTTATCCGGGGGAATACCAAGGCGTTCCCAGGCCAGCCGAGAGATATAATCTCTCCAGCGTGTCCTGGGTCTGCCCCGGGGCCTCCTCCCGGTGGGACATGCCTGGAACACCTCACCCAGGAGGCGCCCAGGGGGCATCCTTGTCAGATGCCCGAACCACCTCAGCTGGCTCCTTTCGATGTGGAGCAGCAGCTGCTCTACTCTGAGCCCCTCCCGGATGGCCGAACTTCTCACCCTATCTCTAAGGGAGAGGCCAGCCACCCTTCGGAGGAAGCTCATTTCTGCCGCTTGTATCCGCGATCTCGTTCTTTCGGTCACTACCCACAGCTCGTGGCCATAGGTGAGGGTAGGGACGTAGATCGACCGGTAAATTGAGAGCTTCGCTTTTACACTCAGCTCCCTCTTCACCACGACGGACCGGTGCAGCGTCCGCATTACTGCAGCTGCAGCCCCAATCCGTCTGTCGATCTCCGGCTCCCTTCTCCCATCACTCGCGAACAAGACCCCGAGATACCCCCAGATTTCATAACTTCATTCTGGCAAATGAGTAAGTTTATAATTCAATTTTCTAAAAACATTAACTCTCTGGCTTCTCTCAGGACCCTCCTGGTTATGAGACTGTTCCACTGTCCAACGGGGAGCTGAATCTTGAAGTCACTGTAGTCAATGGAGGAAACTTTTCGGCTACCCAGAAGGTTGAAGAGAAAAAGGCCTACAGTGTCATCATTTACCCCGACGCTACTGGAATCACCTACACATTAGTGAGTGTTCCTACGAGCTGTTACCACATCTTCACTTTTTTTCCCAACACTGTTGACTATTGAGAATTAAATAAGCAATGAGTACAGTTTGGTTTTAAAAGTATTTTTAAAAATCGACATGAGGTCAGCGCTCTGATCCAGAAAGCAGGTTCAACAAACTCTGAGTCTGATCATAAACTCTGTGTTGGGAAACCGAGTTTCCTGTTCCAGTTAAATCAACTCAACTGTGAGTCAAGCATGTGCGTGTGTAGCGAGAGAAAGGCGTCATCAACAGAACTCCATGGCAACGGGTATATACAGAGCAGAGCCTACAATTTAACATAGTTGGCCGAGAAATATGAATGAGCGCCACTGTGGACGAGAGAGGAGAAAAGATCCTGTCATCATTTCCCAACTTGAATTTTCTTAACATTTAAATTTTAAATTGAATTATTCGTGTCAACGGCTGGAAGGGCGGTTTGTTTGAGGAGCGGACAGAAAAGCAGACGACCGAGAGACAGGATGACAGGATTTAACAAAAAGCAAGCGTTTGTTCAGGCTGATAACTAAACACAAAAGCAAAAGGCAGAGGCAAAAACTAAACGTTACGTTGAACTGGAAAAACTAAAACTACGCATGAAAACCATAACATGAACATAAGGATGAGGATGAAGAAAAACCAACACTTGAGAAACATGAAATCCATAGACATGACGGAAAGAAAGCAAACGACCTGACAATGAACAAAGGCAGACAGAGGACTTAAATACACAGCAGGGTAATGAGGGAAGCGGAAACACAGCTGACACAAATGAACATGACACCACAGGGGAAGCAAAACTAGACACACTGAACATGGAACACAAGACCTTCAAAATAAAACAGGAAACATGACTTAAACACCTGGACCAGACAACATGGAAACAAACGTAAGTAAACATACAGTCAATGCTATAAATGAATTAATACTAAATAATAGAAAACTAAAACATACCAACACAAAGAATTCACAGAAAATCCATAATCTCAAAAATGCTGGGTCATAGACCGAGCCCCCTGACGATTCAGCTATAACGTAAGTGGGACAAGCTGTCATCTGCAGCAGGCAGTTTAATTAAAAATGAATCATGGACCTTTGATAATAGGACAACCTATTTTGATCATTTGCAGTGGAAAAGATGTCGAGATTCAAATTCAAATTTTTAGACGTTTTAAAAAGTTCATTATCGTTTAATGACTGTATTTCAGCGTGTGCGCACATTTAACATGTTGTCAGAACATGTTCAAGTTCTCTGAAACTCTGTAAACTACTCTTAGTCCCACTGCACAACCTGAAAGCCATTTACGGCTCATCTTTACAATCTTGACATCATCTCCAACACGATGCCAATGTTGTCATACATTTTTCCATCAGTGTGACAGATTACAACACAACAGCAAATGATTCTTCAGTGACGAGTGTTTTTTGTGACTAAACCATCATAGTTTTATTTAAACAGTTATTATCACAGGAATGGACGTGAAATATTTAACTGGACATTTCAGGGAACTGGCGAACACATAGACATTTATGCATTTCCATACGTGCTATAATATCAGCTGTCGGTCAGCTGGTTCAGGTGCAACAGAAGAGGAAGAGTCAGAGAGAAATGATCCATTTAAATGAAATCTCTTTATGGAAGAGAAACCCCAGAGTTGCCATCATCTTGTGGTTGTGGAGTTAGACGTGTCTGCTCGATCACATTAAATAAACACACTAAGCAGACAAGTCCGCTTAGCAGTTTGGTGCACCTGGTTCACACTGAGGTCAGTTAGTAAAGAAAGGCAAAAATACAAATGCAGAAATTCAGATTAAGCTGTTTTATTGTGGGACTCGGTAACAGGAGATTAATACATCGGCACCATAGGTACATCATAACCACAGATCATTCTAAAAACCTACGCAGAACAGAATAAATCTTTATTGTCACTTTTACAAGAACAATGATAGACAGTTAGGCTAGGTAGATTTTTATATTAAAATTCATATTTTATTTATTAAAATTCCATTAGAATAAGTTAAAGAGGTAGTGCAAATTGAGTAAGATGGTTGCATTATAATAAATATGGTTTATAAACACAGTGGAAATGTTAACAGCACAGTTAACCTTCAATTAAGGTGGAGGTAGGGCATCTTTGACAGCCTGTGGGTAGAAACTTTTATTGAGTCTGGGGGGGGGTGAATCTGCATGCCAATAATAATCACATTAACGTCAGAATTAGGAATTATATTATTAATAGCCTAAGTGTAAGGAATCACAGATGTCCGCAAATTCCTGGAGATTGCAAAAACTTGAAATTCTCAAGCGAAAATTTACAAAGAAGTGGAATATGTTTGAATAAAAACAAAAGCAAAAAGAGCGACCCAGGATTTGTTTCCATCATGGCTGCCACAACCACAAGCCAGTGAACACATAATGCACCAGCACTCAGTGGGTTAGGTCGTTGGCTCTACAAAGATTCACCACAGAAGTCTAAATCAGCTGTAAGAAGCTGAAGGATTACACAGACTCTCTATGAACGCTAATCTCCATTAATATTTATACAAGTTTCTAAAGAATTTCCTTGAGTCTAAATTGAAAATATGGCATAAATTACAAATAGCAGGTGTTGATGTTTTTTAATCTTTCAGGTAGAAGATCACATAACAAAAAACGAAGAAGGGAATCCATTATTGAGGTAAAACCTTTTTTACCTCGAGGCTGTTGCTAAGCTTTTGTGCTTAAGCTGTAAAGCATCTGAATCTGCTTTAAAATATAGGTCAACCTGGAATAATGAGGTTTGCTCACGAGTTCTCCTGGTTCATATTTAACAGGTTCCTCAACACACAGCCGGAGGCCTTAAACGTAACGGTGGGAGATAATAATTTCTACATGTCCTCTGGGTACAATGTGACTCATAACAAGACCGTGCAGCGGGGCGAGTAAGTTGGACTTTTGGGAAGTGGTGGTCAAAACTGGAAGGAAAAGCCCTAATGCCAAATATCTGCTAAGCTTTTCCCAACCTCACAAAAAAGCAAAACAAGAGACATCACTTTTTTCATAATTCCATGTCCAAAGAGATCATAATGTTGAAGCTGTGATTTTTTTTGTTTTGTTTAAAGCAACAAACAGTGTTAATATCAACGTATATCTTGTTAGTTAAATCATGCTGTTTGATTTTTTTCCTCTAAATCACGTACCTCTTCTGCCCTCTGGACAGATACACTGATGTCACCTGCATTTCAAACTCAGGAAAGACCTCTAAACTTAACCTGGGCCTGCTGGACTTTGGCGCGTGTTACACTGTCATTCTCACAGAGGTCAGGATGCTTTCTAACAACTTCATTTAGTCATCACAGATCATAGCAGTTTTACAGCCCTTCTGTGTCCCTTCTCAGGAGGCGGGTAAAATTGTGCCTCACAAGATCGAGGATGTGAAAGCCAACAATGTGCACATTGCCTATCAGATCCCACAGTACATCCTCATCACTGCTGGAGAGGTCATGTTCTCCATCACTGGCCTGGAGTTCTCCTACTCACAGGTGAAGTGATACACGCTACCTATCAGGATTACCTGTACTCGTTCCACTGAAAATCTTTGTTTGGAATATTAAACACTGAAAGCTTTTTGGCTTCAAAGAAAAAGGTTTTCAAGGACAGTAGCTTCCAACCAGGAAAATTCTCCAAACTGGAATACATCTGGTTGGAAAAAAGGGAAAATTGTCTTACAACACTTTTGTCCATATTAGCAAACACAGGAAGCTTTATACTTATACTTAGCTTTAAACTGTAGCACTTAGATGTATTAGCCCAGCGGTCCCCAACCCCCGGGCCACGGACCAGTCGTTTGGTACCGGGCCGTGAGAGTTGAGGTTCGGGTGTGAAATGTATGGTTTTCAGGGTTTTTATCGGTTTTTAGCGTTATTTTGTTATCGTTTTTGTCGTTTGCTTGGTTTTTCTGTTTTTCTGTTTTATTTTTTATTTTTAAAAAATAATTTTTTATGTTTCTGTAAGGGTTAATCCACCAGTATACACAGACTTCAAATTTACTGCTGACTTCTCTGTGTGCCAGCTCAGTTTTAGGGTATAAAAATGTGAATTCAGTTGAAAAAGGTTTTTTAAACCAATGTTTTTGACCGATTATGGAAATATTTGTGGTTTCATGACAGGTGGGCTGATAAAATTTGTTAAGCAATTTGAATAGAAATTCTTACTGAAGCAGAGTATGATGGTGTAAAGCATTTAGCTACCTTTTTATTCCAATGTAATGGCCATAAAGCTGACATCCACTAGCTCGCTGTGTCAGAGGAATGCTGCGTTTCAGAGCAACCTGTGACATTAAAGACTGATAAACAAGACACAGGTTTTTAGAAGAGCTGTTTATTAAAGATCCCATGAAATTGGAATTTTCTGTAGAAATACTTAGAAAACGGTGCGTTTACTATTAAAATTTTAATCCACTGAACGTTGCCCAAGGAAGTGATTTCCCCTCCAGATCTGTTTCTGTCATATTATTAAGATGTCAAATTCCTACTTCACGAATCAATGAAATATGTGTACAGTCCCAGGGCTGCCAGCTGTCTTTATTTCTTTAACCCTGCATCTGTCTTACCCCCAGGCTCCAGCCAACATGAAGTCAGTGCTGCAGGCTGGCTGGCTGCTCACGGTGGCATTTGGCAATGTGATAGTGCTGATTGTGGCAGAAGGGGCAGGACTGGAACAGGTATGACTCTTGAAGGGCATTGTGGGAAACATTTAAACTCTTACACAAAAAAGAAAGAAAGGCTTTTAATCACCGGCCACTTCATTTGGTTCAACTACTCAGCAATCGAGCATCTAATCAGCTAATTGTAGCAACTCAGCTGCAACTGGCAACATGCACCTAATAAAGTGGCCGGAGAGTGTATAAACCCTAACTACTGAAAATTACATCTTAACGTGTTAATAACTGGTAAGGATCGTTATTGTAATTCAGTGAGTCACATAGAACAAAATTTGTTGTGTCTGTTGAATGAAAGAAAGCTGCATCGCACACCGGCCTAATAGATGATGTCATAAGATAAGATAAGATAAGATAAGATAAGATAGAACTTTATTAATCCCTCGGGTGGGTTCCTCTGGGAAATTCGTAAAGCAATATACTTAAGCGATAAAAACACTGAAACGCTTTAAAGTAACAGAAATATAATAAAAGCCATAAAAACAGACTCTAATGGACAAAAAGAAAGATTAGAAGTGCTTTGTACAAAAGTTTCATTATTGCAATGTATCATAAAGTAGAAATAAACCAAAGCTACCTGTGCACTGTAACAAGGTTTAATGGAGAGATAAGGATGAACTTGGGGTATCTTATAATCCACTGGAGCGTGTTTCTCACCTCTTTTATCCCACAATGTGTGTACCAAAAATCGCCAGCTTAAATAAAACGTACATCAGCAACTAAACGGTTCTGTCTTGGTGAGCAACAAATGAACTGAATCGGTCGCGAGCGCGTGCAGCAAACACTAAACTGTCTCTGTTATCTCAGTGGATAGAGTTCTTGCTGTTTGCCTGCCTGCTGTTGGGCGTCTGCATCATCTTCTCCGTCATGGCCCACTTCTACACCTACGTTGACCCCGAAGAAATGGAGAAGCTTTACCTGGAAAACTCAGTGAGGGAGGAAGACGACAGTGACTTCAAGAAGAAAAACAACGAGATAGAACTGAACAAAACGGGGAAGAGCACCAAAGTGTAATACCGTGACATTAGTCACACCTCATTATACGTTTGGCTGCTTTGTGCTTTATAAAGGTATTATTTTAGTGAAAATGAAACTCTAAGATGTGATTGTTGGAGATTTCTTGTGGTTTTAAAGTGTAGGACTCGTGACATCATTTAACATATGTTGTGAAAAACTCCCGTTTCAAACTTTATAACCTTACAAGGAAAGGACTTCCTGAATCAAACTTAAAATATGAAATAATATTCGAGGAAGACAAAATAGTCATTTCTGCAAAATGATCAATAGTGTTATTAAAGCATGTTAATACTACACTGTATATATTTGTTGCATATTAACCCCATGTCAGAATGCTGTTCATGATAATCACAAGCTGTGCAAATATTGGACAGAAAGCATTCAGTTCGCTTTGTGTGCCTTTATCACAATGTTTGATTTCCAGAAAACAAAGCTCATCATTACTAAACGTCTGATGTGATATGATCTCTAATTACAAGGGTTTTTCTGCCTGTTTGTACCTGAACAACTAAACAAAACGGAGTTTCTCAAACAGGTTTCAAGGGTCTGCATGTAGTGCAGCCAGTGTCTGAAACAATCTTTCAGTAGTCGTGGATACAAGTACACAAATTTACAAGTTTGTCCCTCTAGAGCTGTGTTTTGTTTTTTTTTTGAACGGCACGGTGGTTAGCACTGTTGCCGCACAGCAAGAAGGTCCTGAGTTCAATTCCAACATCAGGCCGGGGTCTTTCTGTGTGGAGTTTGCATGTTCTCCCCGTGTTTGCGTGGGTTCCCTCCGGGTACTCCGGCTTCCTCCCACCGTCCAAAGACATGCAACTTGTGGGGATAGGTTAATTGGATAATCCAAATTGTCACTAGGTTTGAATGTGCGAATGAATGTGAGTGCGAATGGCTGTCTGTCCCTGTGTGTTGGCCCTGCGACAGACTGGCGACCTGTCCAGGGTGTACCCTGCCTCTCGCCCCATGACAGCTGGGATAGGCTCCAGCGCCCCCCGCAACCCTGAAAAGGATAAGTGGAAGCGAATGGATGGATGGATGGACAAAAAAAGTCACATTAGCCACTTGAATTTTAAAAAAGTTCCAGTCTGGTTGTTTGGATCTTAGAAAGCAGCTGTTTCATTACAGAACCTCGACCACTGGATAGATTTCAGTCCTGATTTATCAGCTTTTGACTGTAACTCAAAACTGCTTCAGAAGTCTATACAACGGAAAATAGAAGGATTGTATTGACACGTGTCACATGTAGCGCTAATGGTTTTCCCCTTTTACTCACACATAGTTAGGTTTAGACTTTTAACATTGATTAAATGACTTTCACATATTCGATGCTTGAATCCTCTTTTGTTCTTGGATTGGCTCCTTTGCAACCACAGACACAGTTTTAACGTACACATGTAAGCCTAGACGGATTCATCAGAGGTACCTGGGGTTCAGCATCTCGCCCACAGGCACGTCAACAGCTGCAGGAGCTGGGGAGCGAACAAGTAACCTTCTAAATAGGAAACAATCTAAGCAGCTGTGAAAGGAAAGCTTTCTGAGGGCCTGGGTCAGAAAGCAGTGAGGAGCGTAAGGGATCCATACAGGAGCTGAACAAGTAATCTATTGAAAAAGTCCACTTTTATTCATTCAAAAAGTCTTATTTATGTCACCTGAAAAAAAAGAAGCAGCCTTTTTTGCATTCATTTGTACCAATTGTAGTCCTTGTATCCACCTGTGAATGATTTCCCTGTAAAGGTTTCTGCTTTGCTGACGTTGAAGTTTAAAATTGTGGAGAAACATCCAGCTTTGTTTTTGCAGACATAATGATTTCTTTTACTGTTTATAGGCAGAAAAATCACAGATATGAAAAAAAGTAAAAGTTATGAAAGAATTTCTTGCTACTGTTCATGCTGCTCATTGGGACACGTCATCATCACAGAGCCATCTTTGCAAATCAACAAGTGTGCTGTTAAAAAACAAAAAGAAGTATGATGCAAAGTGCTGTGTGTGTGATTTTTTCAAACCTGCAGAAACTGATGTTTTTTGCCTGTGGTTTGTTTTTTGACAATATGTGATGTTTTTTATTCAGGGAAAAGTATAACTTTGATTTTTCCTCCAAAGTTCTGTAAATAAACTTGTTTTGTGATGTTTGAAGTTTTAATGCAGATTAAAACTTGTATTCTTGTCAATCGTTTACTCCCGTTTATCATAACTGCAACAATTTTGCACCAAAATCTGACAAAAACTCTTTGACCAAGTTTAGATGTGTAAAATGTCCCCACCAAGGACAAACCAACTACAGGGAATTCAATTAGGCAAAGTGGGTATATTACATTTATTATCCGCACACATACAGCAGACTATTCAAACAGTTCATTTATCACTTCTTACACAGCTTTCATCAATCACAAAACTATTACAAGGAGTCCTTTGTGGCTGCTCAATGATGATTCCCCCCTTACTAACTGACATTGTGATACATTGTTTTCTGCACAATGTTTGTATCCCTGGAATATTATCTTGAATTATTTGGTTGTTTAACATACTAAATTGATTCCAGTGGCCATTTTTCCTAGTTTGGAAGAACCAAAAAGGATGAGCATGTGCAGGAAAACAAAACAAGGATATGTTAGACTGTCACTTGCAGCACTAGAATGACTTTTGGCTGCGATTTCCTGCATCTGTGGTTCACGCCAAGAAGGTCAAGAGTGACAAATGAGAGAAGAAATAAAAGTCGGGCCTCTTACTTAATGATGCCAAAACATGACTCGTAGTTTGGAGGGCCAATTTCTGGGTAAAAAATAATAATAATAATAATCGTGGCTCACAACAAACCCCATGTTCATGTTGCATCTGATAAGTGAATATCAAAACTAGGATGATCAGGTGGTCGTATCACTTCCTGTATGCTTTTCTAGAAGCAGCTCAGTGACACGGGTGATGATGTCTGGATGCACCAGGCAGTCTAACAAGTCGTTAGTGGTTATTGTTGTATGCGTTGATGCCTTATAATCCTCTGACAGGTTCTTTGATGTCCCATCTGCACAGTCACATTCTCTACACCGAGTTGAACCAGCGTTACATCCATGTGTTCTCTGATCGAGTCTGACAGCAGCTGCAAACTTGGTTGTCTGTGCTGGATCGGAGCTGACAGCGCAGTCCTCTTGAGATCTGACTGCACTGTTGCTGGAAGAGTTGACCTCTACATCTTCGGGGGTCGTCCTCCTCAGTTCTTGCTGACAGCGTACAGAGATGAGATGTGGTCCGTAGGGAATACTGAAGGGTGCACAATTCCTAACCCGATCACTATTTTTCTTGATTTGCCCACCCGAGTCCCGCTTGACTCGACAGGTGTCTCGCAACTCTGGGCTCAGTTTGCTGTGGCAGGAACTCCTTTGTTTCTGAGCCCAAGCTCTCGCCGCCAGGTTCAGATACTGCATATTTTCATTATGGGATGTTACTTCTTCCTATAAAAACAAAACAAAAACGGAGAGAAAGCTGGAGACAGCTGCCAAGAGATAAACAGTGTGTACAGCCTTTAAGATTACAAAATGAACTGCCTGAATTTTAATTGAGCGCAATCTGCTAAACAGATTCAGGCAAAGCAATAAAGAAAAAAAAATTTAATCAATGCATGCCTGGAATGACACTTAGATGGTCTAATAAAAGTGCATTATAAATCCCTTTAATGCTTACAAGGTTCTCCAAACAAGAACTGCCATTAGAATCATTTACAAGAAGCTGTACTTGAATTAATATTCAACTCACAGAGGCTTTAGAGTTTGTTTAATATGTTTAATACTTTGTATATTTCCAGAAAAAGCCCATCTTGCAGAGGCGGTTAATTTGCTTATACATTTTGGGGAAACCTTTGTACATAGATTTTTATTAATGTGCTGGGAAGTAATTGTGTTGTTTTTCGGTGCCGTTTGTTTGCAACTCAGCAAGATTATACAAAATCTACCAGGCAGAACCTAGAGAGCAGTCTTCCCACTACATTTCTCAGAGTGCACTTCTACTTCTTTACTTCTGTAGGAACAAACCAGCCACACTGGACATGCAACCAACACAAACAAAGAGGAGACAACTGACTCCAGGATGCCTTTGATCAATCAGGCAGAGTGCCACACATCAGCTCTCCTTCAAGACAAAGGGTCAGGGAAGTGTGAGGCCAAGGAGGCCTGCAGCTCACACCAAAGCCATTTCTGCAAGATTAGACCAACTAAATGGCAGCAACTGACTGGAACCCCATGGCCCACTACATCCACTGTAATCTCCATATCTACAAAGGAATTAGCATTTATCATTTAAAGCCTTATGAAGAAGAATCTGTATAATTTTCACTAAACCTGCCTCCAGGAATTCTACCTGGCCTAAAGCATTAAAAGAACATTAACAGGCAATTAACCCCCTTTCCTGGAAATCAGATGCAACACAAATGTGGTGGGAGCTCCTCAAAGAACCATGACTTTTCCCACACAAGAGGCATTTCTTCACCTAGGTCTTCCTTTTTTTAGTCTAAATTTGTGCACATTAATATATAATACACCACAGTTTCTGGAAAATGGAAATATAGGTTTAAACTGGCGCAGTGAAGGCATCTGTGACTCTCCTTGTAGGTGGGAGACTATATCCTTTCTTGGCTAATCAATATGCAAAAAACGCTTTTTAAAAAAGGTTACCTGAAGCTCTACTTTTGTTGCCACAAGAAAGACTTCAGCTGAACTGCTCTACCTGACTTCAAGCACAAGTACTCAGAATCAATCCATCACAGCATCGTAATTATCCCCCGTACAGATCACTGCTACCCCGCTGTTTGTTTTTAATCCTTCAAAGTCATAGTCTATTTTGATAACGATATGAAACTAACTGGGTGTGCAAACAGTTGAACTAGACTAAAAATACTGCGTAATTGGTCCTGAAGTTATGTAAGCATAACTACCTTATGTGTTTAAAGTAGAGACGTCCTTCACAACTATTATTACAACTTTTATAGCCGTCTCTAAAAGGACAAGTGTGAAAAAAAGACTTTTAGAATATCACAATAAATCATTTCATAGCAGCTCTGAGAAGCTACTTTAACAGGGGTTTAAGTTTAATGCCTATGAACTTATGCAACTGAGGCTTTCAGCTCTCCTTACATTATGACACTGCAGCTCATACTGTGTCTGCATAGAAAATGACACACAGTAAGTGACATAAATATAGTCTGTAAGTGGGACAAGCTGCCTGGCTGAACCTACTGATAAGCAGAGAAATAAGAAGGTGTGGGGGGGACAAGTGGTTAGTAATCTAACAAAGTCAAACCAGTGTCTCAGCAAGTTCGTGGAGGCCTGGATACACTCATGCAGAAGTCACTTACACTTCAAATCACTAATGCAATACAAAGAAGGACTTCTCGTACTTCACCAAAGATAAACACACGGTCTCCAGGGTGCTTTACTTAATCAAGGACTAGAAGAACTTCATCTGTAATCATTTGCTATTCAATAAATGTTCTGAGACAAAGTGTAAATGTCCTTTGTTTGAGAAGTCTGGCATCCCTCTCACGTCTGTACCACATAAAGCTATAAGTCAGCAAAAGCTTAGCTTAGCAGAGGATTGAACCCTGGGAAACAGCTAACTTGCCTCCGTCTGAATTCAAAAATGAAAATCTTTGATTTTCCAGGTTTTGTGCGCAGCTATAGCTTCACTATATGCTTGACTCTCTACAGGTTCTGACAACG